TCAACCATTGACATCTGAATTCCATTCAGCAACACAGACTAGAGGTTTGGTTTCATATTGTAATGGTCTTTGTTCTACCTGAGTGACTCTTTTTTAAAAAAATTATTTTTAATTTATGGAATAAAACAAACATTTCCATAACATAGTATAACAATAAAAAAGATGATTGCACATGAAACTCCAAATCTATTATGTACAACTTGCTATTCCTTTTAAATATACAATAGAGTTTTTTTCCTTTTTTTTCCCTTTTCCCCCTTCCACTTCTGCCCTAGAGATAGCTACCATTTGGCACAAATATATATGTGTAGTTAATATCATTCTACACATACTTCTATTTATCAGTTCTTTCTCTGGATGCAGATAGCATCTTCCTTCATATGGCCTTTTCAGTTAATTTGGGTATTTATAATAGTCAGAATTGCTTAGTCACTCAAAATTGTTCTTAAAATAATATTGCTGTTACAACTTTCTCTTGGTTCTGCTCATTTTGCTCTTCATCATTTCATGCAAGTCTATCCAAATTTACCTAAGATCACTGAGCTCAGCATTTCTCATAGCACGGTAGTATTCTACCACAAACATATGCCACAACATGTTCAGCCATTCCTTAATTGACAGGCATCCATGCAATTTCCAGTTCTTTGCTACCACAAAGAGAGCTGCTATAAATATTTTAGAACATATAAGTTCTTTTCCTTTTTCTCATCCCTTGGAAGCAGACCTAGAAGTGATATTGCTGGGTCAAAGGGTATAGATATAGGCAGTTTAATAACTCTTTGGGCATGATTCCCTATTACTCTCCAAAATGGTAAGATTAGTTTACAATTCCACCAACAATGAATTAGTGGTCCCAGTTTTTCCACATCCCCTCCAACATTTGTCATTTTCTCCTTAAGCAATTTTAGCCAATGTGATATATGTAAAATTATATCTCAAGGTTGTTTTAATTTACATTTCTCTAAATGATGTCTTTAGAGCATTTTTTCAAATGATTATAAATTGTTTTGATTTCCATATCTAAAAACTGTCTGTTCATATCCTTTGACCATTTATCAATTGGAGAATGACTCATATTCTTATGGATTTGACAAATTTCTTTGTATATTTGAAATGAGACCATTATCTGAGAAACTGTCTACAAATTTTTTCCCCAGTTTTCTGCTTTCCTTCTGATCTTGCCTACACTTGTTTTATTTGTACAAAACCTTTTTAATTTCATCAAAATTATCCATTTTGTGCCTCATTTTGCTTTCTATCTCTTGTTTATTCATGAATTGTTCACCTATCCAATAAGTCTGATAAGTAATGTGTTCCATGTCCTTCAAATTTTTTTTATAGTATCTCTCTTTATATCTAGGTCATGTATATATTTTGAATTACTCTTAAAAACAAATAAGCAAGCAAAAAAGCATTTTCTACATCAAAGCTTTTTGGACTTTTGAAATGAAGGCTATTGGCTTCATAAAGCCGTTACTTGAGAAAGAATCTCAAAAGTGATGGGCAAGAGCCTGTTTTGCCTCTAATTCTTAACCAAGAGGGATATGTTTTATGAATATTATTGTGGTAGAAATGTCAAGGTGCTAGTGAGATTCATTTGTAGATTTTAGATCACTTCTTCCCTTTGGCAGCTTAGAACTGAGCTATGTACTCTTCTGAAAGGAAAACTACTTGGAGTTTTTAAATTAGGATTGTTCATCATGTTTTCAAAATAAATATATTGTCATCCTTTAAAAAATATTTTGGCTTGCAATATGAACAAAATTTACTGATGAGGCAAAGAGCTCTTTGTAATTGATGTGTGAGGCAGACTATTTTCTTTCAAACCCATCGTACTTCAATTTTGATATTTTTCTAGTTGACGAAGAGGCTTTTTAAAGGACCTCTTCCCTTGGCCTTTCACCTTCCATTTACCTATGCATTTGCTATCCAGCTCTGTTACACAGCTTCTGTCTCTGATTTTCTCACAGAGAAAACCAGAATCATTAGATGCTAAGATTTATGGGAGCAACAAACATTTATGGGTTGTTGGTTTTTTATGGTGTGCGTGTATGATACACAATTCAGTTAATCTCTTTCAAGAAACAACTTCTTAGTATGCTTACTTTTCTTTAAGGACAGATTTGAATATGTCTTAGTAGGGGAGAAGGGAAAGCAATAACTATTTACATAGTGCCTTAAATATCCCAGGCACTGTGCTAAGTACTTTTGACAAATATTGTCTTATTTGATTCTCACAACACTGGGAATTAGGTGCTCTTATTATCCCTATTTTACACTTGAGGAAACTGAGACAAACAGAGGTTAAGTGACTTGCCCAGGGCCACATGGCTAGTAGTGTCCAAGTCTAAATTTCAACTCATACCTTCTTGACTCCAGGCCTGGTGCTCTATCCACTGTGCCACCAGCTGCCTTTAGCAATCAATGAATCAATCCACAAGCATTTATTAGCAATTACTATGTACCAAGCACCATGCTAAGTGATAGAAAGCCAAAAATGAAACCGTCCCTGCCTTTTAGGAGCTTACTTTCTATCATGGGGAACATGTACATATAGTTAAATATACAAAATAGGCACAAATAGATAAAAGATAAAAGATTATTTGAATGCAAGTATCTTGGGGATCAGCAAGGGCTTCCCGAAGGTAACACTTGAGCTAAGTCTTGAAAAACTAATTAGAAATTAGAAGAGAAATAAAAGAACAAGGAAGAGTTCATTCCAGGTATGGAGGCAGCCAGGACAACAGCATGGAGGCAGGCAGTGCAGGGTCAGGTATGATGTGCATTAAGAAGGGCAACTTTACTGGACTGCAGAGTGTATGAAGGGGAGTCATGTGTCATAAAGTTAGAAATTTAGGTTGGAGCCAGATTGTGTATGACTTTAATTCCCTGCAGAGAAGATGCTATTTGTTCCTATTGGAGGAATAACTGCAGTTTATCAAGTAGAAGAGTGACATTTGGTCAGACTTAGGAAAATCATTTCAACACTGGTATGAAGGGGAGACTGGAGTGGAGCGAGCCTTGAGTCAGGCTAACAGATTAGGAGCTTATTTTCTTTTTTTTCCCCTTTTTTTAAATTAATATTTTATTTTCCCCCAGTTACATGTTGAAACAATTGTTTAAACTTTTTTTTGTTTTTAAAGTTTTGAGTTCCAAATTCTATCCCTCCTTTCCTCTCCTCCCCACTTGCCAGATGATAAGCAATCAAGTCAAACATCAGGAGGTTATTTTCAGTAGTCTGGAGTGAGAGGCGATGAGGTGCTAAGAAAGCAGCTGTGCAAGGGGAGGAAAGGTGGCAAAGATAGCAATAGTGAGATTTGATAATTTATTGGATATGTGGGCAAAGGAAGAATGAGCTGTGAAGGATAGCTCTGAACCTGTTGTAAATCTAATTGTCTGAAAAGATCATGATATCCTCAGTAGTAATAGAGAAGTGTTGAAGATGGGTAGGTTTTTGGAGGAAAGATAATAAATTGTGTTTTGCACTTGTATGAGATGCCCATTGGACATGCATTTCAAAATATCCAAAAAGGCAGTTGATGATGTACTGCTGTTGATGCGCCATTTTTCAGTCATGTCCAACTCTTCATGATCCCGTTTGGAGTTTTCTTGGCAGAGATGCAGAAGTGATTTGCCACTTTCTTCTCTAGTTCATTTTACAGATGAAGAAACTGAGGCAAGTAGGATTAGGTGACTTGCCCAGGGTCACACAGGTAGTAAGTGTCTAAGGCCAGATTTAAACTCAGGTCTTCCTGACTCCAGATGCTCACTTTTGTTTTCCTCTGAATATCTTTTCTCTTCTAGGTACGCTTTTAAATGCTTCACTGAAAATTCTTTCTTTTGTTCTTTTTTTTTTTTGGAGGGGGCATAAAATCAAGAACCCCTCTATACTCCCTCCCTTATCTCTCCCTTTTTAAAAAACCCTGGCATGGGGCAGCTAGGTGGCGCAGTGGATAGAGTGCTGGCCCTGAAGTCAGGAGGACCTGAGTTCAAATCCAGCCTCAGACCAAACATTTGACACTTACTAGCTGTGTGACCCTGGGCAAGTCACTTAACCCCAATTGCCTAAAACAAAAAAAACAAACAAACAAAAAAAAATCCTGGCATAGCACTCAAGCACAATCAAAACAAATCCACACATTGGACATGTTTGAAAATGGATCTACGTCATATACATTTTTGAGACTAATAGATTGTTTATCATAAACTTTTAAAGAAGAAATAACCTAGACATACTGGTGATTTATTGTTTCATATGTAATCTTTTTTCGTTATTGTTCTTCTTTGTACATAGAAATGCTCAGTTCCTGTTTTTCAAATTCAGAATAACATTATTTTAAAGAGCAGCTAGGAGGGTATTCTGGGCTTATCCTCTATGTTACTATTGCCAAAAAGAGAGAGTTTATTAGTGACAGAGTTACGCCATTGCGTATTCATGTCATTTTATTTGCTCAACTGAGAATGCAATATGTAGAACTTCAGTGAATTATTTACCATTTCTGAATCAAAGTGTTTAAATTTTAAGAGCCTTAACTCAGAGGGATGAAATTGGTAAGCCCTGGGCCAATTTTCCAGCTACCTATCTCCTAAATTTTTTCGTTCACATACTCATTTTCATTTTTGCACTTTCAACCTCCACAGGTGCTGTGGAGGGTGTAGTTCAGATGTTCTTTTCGGCACTCAGTTCCCTATAATGGATTCTAGACTTTAATTTTTTTTTTAAAGGGTCTAACACCCAAGGACAGAGTGAATAGAATGCTCAAGTAAATAGGAAAACAAGAGCCAAATCAGACCTGTTTCCAAAAGGAAAACTGTGCATCTCTAAAAACATTTGCTTTGTTAAAAACAATGAATAAAAAGCTACTGGAACTAGTTAGCTAACTAATGTTTTCATTATAACTTTGAAAAGTCCTCTAATTTTACACTAAATTGGAGTATTAGCTAACTACCAGATAAAGATAAAAAACCAAAATGTGAATTAGAAACAAGTACAGCAAAAGAAATTGAAAAGTTCCTGTTTTAATTGCTGTTCTTCATAGTGAGGAAGCATGAAGTTAGGTGGTGAGATCAATGATGAAAGTAGAAATGTTTTCCAATGGGAATACCTTAGATGTTTTTTTTCTCTTGTTAAATGGTTTTTCATACTACTGTGTCTCAGATTCTTCAAATTGTACTTCCTACAAAAGACAATCAGAGGTCATTTTCTTTAGCTAAAACTAACAAATTTTTTGCCCAACTATTTTTTATTTATTAGTCTAATGAACAACTTATCATCATTTCATTTCATTGTACAGTAGCAAAAATAAATGAAAGTTCTTTCAGTTGCCTTTTCTCACTATAGTAAGATGATTTGGGACCTATTGTCAGCAGGCTACTTTGGTTAAGCCTTTTCATAGCATTTTTTTCAAGATGTGCTTTTCTATATCATAGGACTATTAATCAAATTTACAAATTAAATAAAATGTATTTCATTAAATAATAAAATTTATTAATAAAGGCTTGCCTTAGAAATCTCATCCAAGAGTATGAAGAATGAGAAAGTCAGTGTTCCTCATGAGAATAAACTCCACAAGTCAAGGAAGAAGAATTTAGTTGGTCACAGTGAAAGCTTTAACATAGATTATTATTTTAAGCAATGTGATATGGGCTGTGGAGTATTTTTCTTTACATACTTACTTATTATGGTATTGTCTATTTGTATTTTACAAAAATATCAACCTAATAACAGGTCCTATGTGCTCTTATGGTGGCAAAGACCCAGACTTCCTGGGCTTTTGTGTACACACACACACACACACACACACACACACACACACACACACACACAGAGTATAATCAAATAATTTTGTGTCTCTATTGTATAGAGGTAATATTAATGTAATATATAAAATAATATATACTTCTTATAGTTTATAACTCATATATTTATATACTATGTTATTCATTTATATAGACTATATAAATAATATACACATAACATCCATGTAAATATTATTTATATATTTTGTGTTAATATATATAAGTAATATACATATATTAACATAATCATTAACTAGTTTTGTATATTGCCCCAGGTGTGGTCAACACATTTCTTGGAACAATCACCATGGGTTCAGCTAAGCTTTACTTTATATAGTCAGACCTAGGATTGTACAATTGACTTTTTACCAGATGTGAAATGTTTTCTGTGCTTTTTTCTTATTAGAAATATCCATTCACTTAGTGGATGGTTCACTTAGTCTCATGTACTTAGGAGGTTTCACTAGTTAGTATGATACAGAAAGGATCTGGAAACTATGACAATGCATTCTAGAGTAAGTGGAGGCTTTTAGAATATTGGAATCTGATGATTCTGCTCTCCTTTCTCATTCAGGTATGGCAGCAGCCAAATTGCTTCATGAATCTGGACAGAGTGTTGTAGTGCTGGAGGCCCGGGATCGAGTAGGTGGAAGAACTTTTACTGTAAGAGTAAGTAATCAGAACTTGAGATGGGCAAATTAGAAAATAACTTCCCTTTCCCACTCCCTTACATAAAAAAAATCAGAGGGTTATAGCAGCATTTTCATTTTTTTTTTTGGTTAGTTAGTATCTCCAATGATTTCTGCCCAAGATTTGTTAGTTCTTTAGAGATTGAAGTAGTTCTAGAGCTTCCAATAATTCAAGCAAGAATGCGTATTTGAAAAGTCTGTCTCTGATCATGATGTTTACCTGCTCAACAACCTTTCTTGCCTTTCCATTTACGACCTAGTAAAATTCAAGCCCTTTAGTTTAGCATTCAATTCCCTCCACAATTTGCTTCCAACCTATCTTATCAACACTATGCCCCAGCCAACCTGTACTCCTCATTATTTCCTAAATATGGTATTGTGCTTTCCCACTTCCATATCTTTACTTAGTTTATTCTCTCTACTATGAATGCCTGTAATTTCTGCTTATGAAACTCTTGCCCTAGCTAAAGCACACCATTTATTGTACCTAGTCTAAATATTAACTTCCATGATACCCCCCTCAACACAGCAACTATAAGTGGGCCCTTCTTCCTCTGAATTCATATAGTCCTTAGTTTAGATCACTTATCTGACATATAATAGATATTGCATTTCCCATGCCTGAGTTGCATTTCTGTCCATCAAAGTTCTGCCAATTTTCAAATGCACTTCATATGATAACTTCTCTGTCAATAGATCATCAATTATGTATTAAGTGCTTACTATGTGCCCACATTGTGTTAAGCACGGAGAATACAAGTACAAAGAATGAATCAATCCCTGCTTGGAATGAGTTTGTTTTCAAGCATTTTCTTAATTTCCTAGTCAAAAGCAATACCTTCCTCTTCTGAAGTCTCATAGAACTTTTTATACCTTTTTATTGCATTAATGTCATTTTGCTTTTTATTTCAGCTGTTTCTATACATTTTAAAATCATGTCTATTGTATCATAAGCTTATTGAAGACAAGAACATGTTTATACATATTTGCATTCCTCATTGCACGTAATACAGTGCTTTGCACATAGTAGATGTCTTAACAAATATTTGTTGACGGGGCAGCTAGGTGGCACAGTGGATAGAGTACAGGCCCTGAGTCAAAAGGACCTGAGTTCAAATTTGGCCTCTGAAACATGATACTCACTAGCTGTGTGACGCTGGGCAAGTCACTTAACCCCAATTGCCTCACCAATATGTATGAGGATATGTATGCATACACACATGTGTATATATATGTATATGTATATTTGTTGAATAAATGAAGAATTTAGAGCATATTTTAGTCCAACTTTCTCCATCTAATTGCTGAAAACTCTTTTACAGCAGCTCAGCCAAATGGTCCCCCAACTTCTTCTTGAATAATACTTAAAGAGGAAGCATACCATACCTTAATGTTGTTGATCAGCTCTAATTCATAGAAGGTTATTTCTTTAGTAGCTGAGTCAAAACAGTTATCAAATTTCAAATTGTTAAGGATGTGGAGATTTTTAACAAGTTAAACTCTAATTGTACCTTCCCTGTCCACCTGTGACTTTCCAAATGATAGACTAGCAAACTATACTGAGTGGTTTGAATTTTAATTTTATCCCTTGCTTTTCTCTTGGGCATCCAAATGACTAGGTACTTTATCTAAACAAGGCTGAAGAAGTGAATGGAGAGAATTCATAACATTTCATGTCTTATTTTAAAACTCAGTAATCCAGATTCAGTGTATAGCTGCCCCACCCCAAAAAAGAGTAAATGTTATAGACCATGTGATTCTTTTTATCCAGATATTGGTTGTCTAAATAGGATAACAGCTTTTCTCATATGTGTTTGTGTAATTATATTATATGTAACACATGTACATGTATTTTTAGATTTTGTAATAATATTTTATGTACATGTATAAACATTTGTGCCTTTACATTGTACGTTTAAATAGTTATGTATTTTATTTACATATGAAGAGAGAGAGACCATTTGTTGTTAGTTAAGAAAAGCAAACAATAACAATATTTGATGATATTGTAAATTTTCAAATAAATATAATCCGAGGAAGTAGGCATATTAACCCAAAGTGTTTCAAATATGCACTCAAGGCAATAGGTAGGGTAAAGTATTAAATCTCAGCATGCTGATTAGTTTTCTCTATTTATTATTTTCAATAATATATCTTTTTTTCTCTTTTTTATTGGAAAACCAGAATAAAAATGTTAAATATGTAGACCTTGGAGGATCTTATGTTGGGCCAACCCAGAATCGGATATTAAGGTTAGCTAAAGAGCTGGGATTAGAGACCTATAAAGTGAATGAAGTAGAGCGTCTCATCCACCACGTCAAGGTAAGCTCAGACTCACATCTGAGAGATGCTAAACCTTCTACACAGATGTTTCTACTTACAAGGGCCATATGATATTCCCTTGTATTTTTCTCTATCTCTATCACTTACGTACATTTTAAAATTTAATTTCATTCATATTCCTTAGTGGGAATTATGTGGGGTCTTGACCCTATAAAGAGAAGGCATTAACTTAGGGTCATTGCCTACTTAATGAAAGTGTTGTTTAACCAAATAATAGTTGAAAAATCTCAGAAATATGTTTGAGATTTAATTTGTTGATTTCTTTCAGTTTTATACTGTAAGCTATGTTGTATCTTGTGATTTTTTTAAAAGCTGACTGAAAGTATCACAATACTTTGCCCAAGAAATTATATTTCAAAGAGATCTGAGAGATTATGTTAAATATCACCATGTTTAGTGGGTGATAATAGCAAGTAGACCAAATATCAGAACATGCATAAGAAACAATTTAGTATGATAGGAAATAAAAACCAACTATTAATGGTGTTATAGGGTAAATACTTCTTAATTTTTAAACAAATATCTTGTTTCCATATCAAATTTAGATTTTCATGAACACATCAACTCTGCTTCTGGGTTTATCCAGCAGCAAGACATAATTATCATTTTTTAAAATTATTGAACATTTTAGTACAATAGGAAGAGTCAGACAGTCAGAAGAAGGCCTAAATTCAAATTCTCCTCTGACACTTTATGATATTCAGTTTCTTCATCTGAAAAATGGAAGTGTAGGGCCATATGACAATCAAGATCCCTTTCTGCTATAGATGTATGGTTAAGAATTGGGTATATGAATTATGAGATTCACTGAACACCAATCACTACTTCCCACTAAAAAGATAAAATTAACTGCCCACGCTGTTTTTTAAGTCTCCTTGTTTAGATTTGATTATAATTTACGCCTATTTTACAAATTTTTAATAGGCTTTTGCCTTACCCTGGATGTTTTTCTAGAACATTATCTATAAAAAAGAGGTGATCATAGATTACATATTCTTGGCACAAGTCAATGAATTTGCAAGTGACCTTGTTCCTTTAACTTTGTTATTTGTAAAAGCTATGCATTAGATTGATCTTTTTCTTAGTGCAACTTAGTACTGTTGATGGGTGGAAAATTGATTATAGTAACCAACCTCAGCAGTGATATTGCAATTCTACCAGGCATTGTGAAGGGAGTTAAGATGGGTACCAGGGCTATGATGTAAACAACATGGTGCACCTGGCCCCTGTTCATTGTTCTGCTACTATCAAGTTGAAAGAGCTCTTTGGACTCATAACTCTTCCATAGCCCTGACATTTTCTGACCTCTAAGCGAGGAAATTTGAAGCTTAGGTGAGTGTTCCGGT